ATCTAAAACTGTAATAATGAAACCGGTAAGACTGTATGAATTGTTTGAGATCAATGAAACTAGAAGGATAGTACGTAGAAGTCACTTTCTTCGTTACAGTTCCCTTTGAGTGCATCAACTACTAGCTCTTGAGGTGGATGTACAAGTAGTGGATCTATAAGAAATTTAGTTTTTACTACTGTAACATTGGAAGTAGATGCTACCTTCCTTGCATTTACGACGAGCACAACGTTTCATGCCTATATAGCAACAATAGAGAAGAACAGTGAATATAGCAAAAGAACCGATAGCTTCAATATGTTTCCTTATGATTCAAATTAAAAACTTACAAATGACTTACTAAAAATTAGGAAAATGATTAGATACTCTATTCCTTCCATCTTATCACGAGTATCAGTTACTAGGAAACTGAAATGAAACATGCAAGAATGGGTTCTCGCACACAGGAACGGAATGAAACAAGAACGAAACAAGGAACAAAAACACAAAAACGAAGAAGAATGATTGATATTGATAAAGGTTGGTGATGGAATAGTTCGTCTTACTAATTGAACTGTCCAGAATATCAAGTCGGTTTGTTGAATGCTCGTCAGCGGCAAGACAAGAACGTTTCCAGAACCCATTCGCTTCATTGACAGCAGGTATTTTTCAACCATATTCGAAGGTTTTTACTTAATTTTTTGCAGTATCTGATGGTTCCATTGGTAATGAACTACCTGTGTGTTGCGTTTCTGTCAAGGGAACAAAGAATAGGAGATGGTATCATAAGTTTGGGTTTTTTTTAATAAGAGCGTTCAGAACGGGACTGATCTTCTTTTCTATTATCTTTGTAGAGGGGTCATGAACAAAATCTCTTCATTTTAAACTTTATTCTTTTTCTTCTTTTTTTCTGTCATCATACAAAGGTGTAGAAGTCGAAATTGTTTCAACGCATTATTATTATTTGTAGTGAGAGATATCTGCATCCGTGGTCATCGTTACCAAATACAACAGCTGGCCATGTTTACTGGAACACATAGTATTCAGAAAGCTGTATTGAAGTGTTGTCTATAATTAAAAAGGTTAATACAGTATAATTAAAAATGTTTAGCATGTTTCACTAGTAGAATGATCCCTCTCCAACCACTAAGACTTATTCCCATTTTATGTCTTGCATACAGAGCATGAAGCCATGTTCTCATTTGAAAATACCCAAAGACCCCTTCATTCTTTCCTGTCTCTCATGATGTGTTTATTGATCTGCTAGACACTTTCTTTTCACTCCTCAATTAACGAAAAGCTATTTCAAAAGAAAACTGAGAGAACAACGTTTAATATTCATATTATTCATAATCATATGATATGCAGCCTTTGTAATGTGATTTTTATCTGCAAATCTCATTCATAACATATGAAAATCTCAGCCATTCTCTCATGTTCTCGTATTAAACTGCCAACGATGTCGATAATTATGTGGTTGAAAATATGCGTTCGAAGACTAATAATCTCTCTATTTTTCGCTTTTTCGCTCACGCTTATCGATCTTTCTCATTCTCAGAAATATTGTGCATCATTCCTCACGTCGCGTTTCGATACGCCGCCAAATTCATTTAAAATTTATAGTTACATACACATTTACGTTGAATAGAAAATTATTAAAATTATAAAAATTATAAAAATCACACACATATATGGACACCGTCATTATGGTATGTTCAGACACTTTCGTATAGACGGCTGAAACGTACAGTTACGTACATATAATACAGAAGCTTTTTTTTCTTCTCTCAAATATTTTTTTTTCTGTTTTGCTATCTATCCATCTATCGATCTATCTCCGTCTGTCTCTATCTTATGAATTGAATGA